CTGTAAAAATCTAATTTTATGGAGTTGCTGTTACATGATGTCTTTTATTTTATAGTTTTCTCTATTATTTCTACCCTCTGTCCCGTCCTTTTATCTCCACTCTCAATATTCTCCCGTCTTTGATGTATGCTTTTTATTTGGATGTTTAAGTGCTTTATAAACTTTTATGTTCGATGCCGTAAAAGCTGCTCATGCAAACAATGTTTACTATAGAAATAAAGAGAGAAATAATGGACAGAGACTTATTCTTATTATTATCATGATTAGACAGGAGCCTGCACCAGCTCATAACCTATACTCTGAGGTAATTTACCTTTCAGTGTCTCATCCAAACATCCGATTTCAGCAGATAATACATCACATTATGACAGAGAAACAACTTCTTGAGGAAGACGCACGGCATTGTCTGCACAACACAACTATAAAGACGATCAGGAATGATAACGAGGAACCAGGAAATTAAGGGACGACTGGTTTCAATAACTAAACAGAGTTAATATTGCTCTTTGCATTCATCTCAAGGTGGGCAAACATGTCATTACTCCAAAGCAACAGTAATGAGGACTTTTAAAATACATCACAAAGACAAAGCGGAGCCTCAAATGTGGATAATCACATGCACCACAATGCACTTCAAATGAATCTGATGCATGCACTAAAAGCGCTTTGAAGCAGGAGCGACGGAGTCAATTTGGTGGACCTCTCAGTGTGTGTTGGAGTGTCTCATGAATGCATAAAGCCCCGAGTTGTCCCCGGTGCAGGCCTGCCGTGTGAACAGGCCTCCCTGCTGGAACAACAAACTGGAGTCCTGCAGCGTTTGTTTGAGGTGGAGGCGGGGGCGAAGGAGCTGTGAACTTCAGACGGAGGAGCCGAGGAGGAAAAGGCTGAACAGTCGGAGGAAGAGGGGCCCCGGGGTGCTGCAGGGGCCGACACAGGAAATGGGTGGGGCTCGGTGGGAGGGAAAGTGACGGATATTTGTGTGTTCTCAGGAGATTTTATGAAAACTCAGATCTCTGGCGACTTAATGGAGTCAATTAGTCTTTCTAAGGTGTTGCTCACAGGGAACCAATCAATCATCGTCTACGAAACACAGATACTTCATTACCCTTTCAACTGATTCTGGTCTGTGGCTGCAACTAATGATTATTTTCATCGTCGATTAATCTTTGTCGATGAATCAATAAGTTGTTTGGTCTGTAACATGTCAGAAAAAGGTGACAATGTTGATCAGTGTTTCCCAAAGCCCAAGATGACGTCCTCAAATGTCTTGGGTCATTAGTCTGCAAGATTTCATCGGTCACAAAACTAAAAATGACACAAACATGAAACTCAAAACCTACATAACAGGACCATGTGGGACTTTAATTTGAAAGGACAGACACAGGAAGTGGCCACACGTTAATTTCCAGGGCAGTTATTCCACAGGCTAGTTAATAACATGTCGGGCAGGAAATCCAAAGTGTGGGATCATTTTGAGAAGGTGAAGGACGAACCCAAGGTGATATGTAAACTCATCTTCATTGGTCGACTACAAACATGACGTATCATCTGAAATATGGAAGTAGCTACATGCCCATTAGCCCACAGCGTCATTAACAGGTGGCTCATGTTAATGGCTTTCTTTTTTTTTTTTTTTTTTACTAACTCTGCATGTTGAATCAGGATTGGAGATGGCAGAATGAAATCACTCTGATTGGCAGTTCAGCTTGGTAAACGAGAGGAGAAACGGAAGTGAGGAAAGTAAACAAAAGGCTAAAGTCAAGAGGCAGTGGGATCGAAACAAATGCCACTGAGGTTGCGGTTGTTTTTGGTTTAAGTTTTTCACCCGTACGTACATTTTTAGTATGGACACAGTAGACCTTTTTAGATAGGAATTGCGCAAATTAGCAGGAAAGCCCAATCAGTCTTTTTTCAGCATTGGCAGTATAAAAACAAAATCGGGGAGTGCAGCAAAATGCCGCCTACCTACTTTTGTTTATACAGAATGTGCCTTTTTCGGGGCAATGGGGGGCGTGAGCAAGTAACAAAACGTGTAGCTCAGCGTGTGACGTAAACAGTGACGTGGGAGGGAAGCCGCGGCTGGTCAGTCCTTCGGCGATTCTCTCATAAGTCGGCCCGTTCTTCACCGTCCCCGTCATCTGACGGTTAATGGCCTCTTCGTTTGCGAGGACAAGGAGGGCGCGCAATTCCTTGTCTCCCCAGTTGCTCATCTTCACAGTGTCTGTCAGGTTTGTGTTTCCCTCTTGCTACTAGCTGCTCGCTAACTCCTGCTATCAGCTGTTTCCTGTTAGTCCACCGCCAGTGGCTCACACGTGCGGCGTCATCAACAGCTCCTCCCACAAGTCATCAACAGCTCCTCTCGTGGCGGAAGGCGGCCTCGGTCTGTTTAAACTAAAAGGGTTCCGCCAATATGTCTACCCTACGCTCGCAGCTTGCCGGCAAAACAGCCCAACATTATTTTAAATTATTCAAAAAACTACTTGATTAATTTAATAGTTGACAACTAGTCAACTGCAACAGCATGTGTCTGGGTTTGAAATCATTTTTGGGGGTGTTAAGAGGCTCTTTAAGTTAATTATCATGTCATTATAATGTCTTTATCATACAGTAGGGCTGCAACTAAAAGTTTGTTTCAAGTATTAATAATCAACTTCGTAATTATTTGGTCAGTGACACATTGAGAAATGTTTTGAGAGTCCAAGGTGATGTCTTCACATGTCCTGTTATGTCCAAACCTCTGATACTCTCAGCTAATCTTTGCATTTGAGAAGCTGTAACCAGAAAAACTTCCCACTGATCCTCTTTCAAAATAAAAGCTCCGAGCGGAGCTGCGAGAACCACCAACCTCGCCGCACACTGACGGTGTGGCTTGAAAGTAACCAGACTCCAAACGCTTTTGTTCAGCCGACACTAAGTGACCAGCGCTGCCAAATAATTGATGACTCCAAAGCAACCGGCTGTGCTGCCTGTTTCCTTTGGCAACCGGTCGAAGCTGAAACTTTGTTTTGATGAGAGCGGCTCAGAACATACTGTCTCTGCACATACACTCACATGACAGACGTAATAAGTCAGTTTTATACCGTCTCCGATCACAGAAAGTCCAAACATGTCTGCAGGAGGTTGATGGGATTGTTAGTCAACGCCAGTGACTCATTGATTACTTAATTTCTGGCTGACTTTGTAGTCCGTTACGGAACAAAAACTCTCATTGATTCCAGCGATGAAGGCCTCAATTTCAAGCCAATAAAGTGAACGCAAGAGCGGTTTTATTATTGCAGTGCTCAGGAATAGTGATATATCACCTCCTCACAGACGTTCCTGCTGGATCCAAGCTCTGATTAGCTCGTTTCGAGATCTCTGTGGGGAGCTGGTGTCAGTTACAGCTGGAGACACACTCAAATTTAGCAGGGTTCATCTTAAATGTGGAATAAAAGTTTTAAATTGTCAGTTCTGATTCTTAATTTTCAACTGTATTCGCCGTCAGCGTCTTCACCTCTGCTCGATAATCTCACAAGTTTCCCTCCAGGCGTCTTCAGAAACATCCAGAAACCACATGTACCGTCTGGTATTTACCGACTGCACACCCACACGCTCTGATCATACTTGTGTACATTAGCATTTCAGCCCGCAGCACACCTGCTAATATACGGTGAGCCAGGAGGGCCAGATTTCACAGCCCTGCACAGATATAGCCTCTGAGCTGGTGGCGGCCACACGCCCCAGACGCCCTTCACTGTAAATAGGAACCCTGTCTCTCGGGCTGTCTGGGGCTAATCGCTGCTGTTTTCATAAGAGGAGGCGGAACAATGCGAGGAAGCTCGATGGAAACTGGAATAACCTCGCTGAGCCTCAAGTTTCCCTCAGACATGCTGACAGAAATAGGTCAGGATTCACTTTATTTCTGTGTCACATCTGGAAAACAAACAAAACAACTGCTTCCTAGGTGCAGTGAAATTCGACCTTAAGTTTTTCTCTGCTATTCAAATCAGCGCAGAGTGTGTATGAAAATGAAAGCATGGCTCTGGGTGTGAGATTTGATTGCAGTCTAGACGTCTGCCCTTTAAGCATTCTGACAAATAGAGACGAGCACCAATACGTTCATGCGTTCACGATGGTCATAAATTAAAGGGGTAATCCAGATTTTTTAAAGTGGGGTTGTATGGGGTACTTCCATGGAAAGTATGTTACAAGCAGTAGATGTCCGTCAGCGCGCCCCCAGTTTGGAGAAGCAGGCTGGAGTTCGACACGGAAGCTAAGAAATCTATTGCTGCAGATGGGGGCCAGCAAAAAAACATATTTTAGCCACCTGAAAACATTCATATCAAAGCATACGCTACATTGAGAGTATTTTCACTGCTTTACTTTAACATCAGATGATGATTTCCAACTGGAAAATGAAGCCGTTATATCGCTCTCTTCAATGCCAGACTCCATTGAGAAAAACAGCGATTTAAGGCAGCTGAACACAGGAGCTGCTGGTTGACTGCTGCCTTGGTAAGTTACTTATTTTGTGTGACTGTGTGACTTTGGCATCTCAAGGGGTTAGTTTGGAGTCACCAAAGTCACACATTATCACAAATAAACTAACTTAATCAAAGCAGCGGTACACCAGCAGCTCCTGTGTTAAGAGAGCTTAAATTGCTGTTTTTCTCAATGGAGTCTGGTGGCTTTGACGAGAGCATAGATGGGGAGCTAAAGCCATCGCTGAAGATACTCTCAATATGGCGTACACTTAAACTAATACTGATTTTTTTAGGTGGCTGAAATACATTTTATTTCAGACCCATCCACAGCAGTACATTGCTCAGCTTCCGCGTCGGACTCCAGCCTGCTTCTCCAAACTGACTGTGGATAAATACCCGATACAACCCAACTTCAAAAAATCCAAATTATCCCTTTAAGGCTTCGACAGTCTCATGAAAGACTGAACTGCTTTCCCTGGAAGACTAAAGGTTTCTTATTTCCGACGTTAGCAGCTCAAAGACACTTCTGACACTCACCGTTGAAGAAGCTCTTGACCTTCAGGTACCCTACGCTGAGGCGCAGCACGGACAGCTTGTCCAGCCGTGCCCTGACCTCCTCGGTGAAGGGCAGCAGGCTGGTGAGCTTGTCCAGCTCGCCGTTGAGCCGGTCGCGGTGGCGCTTGGACGGGTTGGACTTGGCGCCATCTGGGGGTGGTGGTTTGGGTCTGCGGGTACAGAAAGAAGACAACGTTAAAACACGGTAACAAAGATCCACGTATACACTTTGAGCATTTAATTTAAGATCAATTTAATTTAGCAAGCAAGGAAGCAAAACTTTATTTATTTATACAGCACATTTAATTGAAGTTTTGAAGTTGCAGCCACAAGACAAAGTCAGCAACCAACCATAAAACTGAATCGAATCCATTACATCTAAGAATAAAACCTCATGAAATAATAATTAAGATGAAGGATAAACCAATAAAGATACAAAGACATGTGACCAAGGGCTGATTTAAAATAAATATTAAAATTGAATAAAATAATAACAATTAAAGTAGACCATTAAAAGAGGATGATACATATGATTCAAATTAATTTAAAAAAAGAAACGGGATGAAATATAATAAATAGAACGATAAAAGATTATCATGAGATAAAATAATACATTAACCAATAAACCAGTGCAAGTAAAAGCATACCTAATTTAAAATAAAATAAATTAAAACAATATAGAATAAAATAAAATAAAAT